GTTAGCAACAGGGAAGTGGGAGAAAGAGAGAGAGGGAAAAGATACAGAGAATAAGTAGCATGGACAATAGGTATAAAATAGACAGGGGGAGGGCAGGAATAGTGTGGGAAATGTAGAAGCTGAAGAACTTATGACACATGGACATGAACTAAAGGGGGGAAATGTGGTTGGAAGGGGGTGGGCAGGGTGGAGGGGACTGAAGGGGGAAAATGGGACAACTGTAATAGCATAATCAATAAAATATATTTTTTTAAAATGCATATAGTTTATTTATTTTTATTTGTTTCATTTATTTATATTACATGTTTATTTCCTGTCCCCTTCTTCCCACCTTAAATATAACCTTCATGAAATTGAGGACTTGCATTGTTAGGTCTCTGCTATATCCCCAGGACCAAGAACAGTGTCTGGCCAGAGTAGGCACTTAATAAATGTTTGTTGAATGAATAAGTGAATAAATAAATTAATTATTCTGTTTTGCTGAGGTATATCAGTTACATACTATTGGCCTATTCCTCAAGACCTTATTATTCTGTGACACTATGTTATTTGAAAAGTTGCAACTACAAGACATTTCACTGGTTCAAATTTTCTATTCAGTTCTATAGGTTGACCATGTCAAGAGTGACTTCTGTATTTGATGATACCTCATTGGCATTGCATTAAAAATGAATTAATTTTAGATTTTCTTAACTTATTTTTGTGTGTTGAAAAATTTGGGAATACTTAGCTTTCCACTAAAAAGTTATATTCTGAAAAAAAGCTCAATATCTGACATATAATAATCTCTAGAAGAGAGAACAATAATTTTCAGAGCATATCAACTCATCCAGCAAACTGTTGTTTAAAGAAGTTGACATTTTATTATGTATTTCCTGTCAGAATAGTTCAATATTAAACTCTCCACTTTCTGAAATTAAATCAATAAGTCAAAATAAAAAGGATCAGAGTGATAGTAGGCCCATAGACTAATAATGAAGATTGAAAGGCTACACCTTTGTACCCAATGACAAAAGGAGATTTGAAAAAAAAAAAACTTGTACTTCATAGTGGATACTGTGGTAAAACTGAGAATTTGTTTCTACATAAGGGGAACAGCAACTACTTGCCCACATGGGAATGTGGTTTAGGTTGCCAGATCTTTTTTCTTGTGAGTGTCCTAAAATGGAGATGTATTGGTGAGATAGTCTACTATTCAAAACATCTGGTATACCAAATGCATTGAGAGTTTCTAGTTTGTGACCTCAGATTTAAGATAAAATTCTTCACTCAGAGATTAAATGAAAATAGAACAAATTATATTGAAATAAAATCTTTCTTAGATTTCATTTTATCCTTACTTTACTAAATGTGCCACCCACTGAATTAATGTGATCAATTAATCTATTATTTCAATTTCAAAGAGACAGATGTATATAAAAAACTGGACCGGTGGATTCACAGAGAGTATTCCATACCTGAAGAAAAATTCTGTTTAAGGAATATCAGGACTATAGAATAGCCATGTCCAATATGTAAATGAAAATTTTCTAGTAACCACATTAAATGTTTTTTTAAGGTAAAATTAATTTTAGTATTATATTTTATTTAACCCAATGCATTTAAAATATTTCAACATGTGATTAACACTTTTAATTTTATGTTAATAAGATAGTTTACATTGTTTTATTCATAGGAAGTCTTCAAAATCTATTATGTGTTTTACACTTACAGTATATCTCAAGTCACACTGGTCACATTCAAGTGCTGAATAACCATAATTGAACAGTGGTTAGCATACTAGGCAGCACAGCTCTAGAAGTCTGGTGTTGTTTTTGCAAATATTATCATTTATTTTTACTGGAAATGTCAAATCTAATCATACCTAAATAAGAATTTGGAAATTAGAGAGCTCTTTCAGTTTTCACATAGCCATCACTCATTCTTAGAATATTAAACATACTTTACATGACTTTTTGTTGGCTATAATGACAATTTAGCTTTTATCCAGTTCTATATGTAACTGGTTCTAAAGCAAATGGCTAAATTCATCAATTGAGTTATTTTATGAAATCAAACCATGCAACAGTAAGAAAAAAAGTCACTTTAATATCTTCATGTTATGCATTCAAAATTTTTGTAATTAATTTTTTAATCCTAGGGCTTGATTTTAGTTTAATATAATATATACTCATTTTTAATGAAACAATATAAAGTATATAAAGTAAACATTTTTAAATCTCCCACTTATTGGGATCTCTCACCATGGATTACTTTTTACCTGCATATCAGAACACACAGATCTGCTTCCTCCTTTTAATGGCTCAAATGTTCATAGTATGTCTGTGGAACCATTTATTTAATCCTGTGTTGATGGACATGTAGGTTGCCTCTAGTTTTTGTTATTACAAATAAGCCTACATAAGTCCTGCCATTACATATTTCCACTGAGTATGTTCCCAGAAGTGGGATGCTAACTTTGAGACCTGGTACATATTACCAAAGTACTGTCCAAAGAACTTGTTCCAGTCTAAACACAAATCAAGTGTATCTGAGAGGACATTTTGATTGAAATGTGGACTTTCCAACATGGCACAGCACAGCACCCTTGACAACTTCCAGGACCAACACTGTTAAGTTACTAAAGAAAGTAAAACCAAATCAAATGACTATTTCAGAGCTACATGTTAGAAGTCCAGAGTTAAAGATACCAACCTGGGGCAGCAACCAACACCAAAAGCAAGTGTAAAAAAGGCATCATGTACTGGAAAGCCTCTTGCCTGTACAGAAACACTCCAGCCCTTGCCTTCGCTGACTCCCAGAAAGTGGCACCCTCTTGGTCAGGAGTTTTCTCCAGAGAAACATTCTGTCTCTTAGGTATCCTGCACACATTTCCTCGTGACACAATTCTTGCTAAGTGATCTGTAAAGTGACACCTTCTTCTTTCAAAAGGACAAAAACTTCTGTAAGGAGATTTGCTTAAACAAGGGGGGAAATTCCGCAGTTCATATTACTCCACATGCAAAGGCCTCCCAAATCCTGGTAAATCTAGGGTGACCAGAATTTGTGGACCCTTCAGGTAATGGTTGGCTCACTAGGTTATTCATTTTCAAAAGAATTTTGTTTTAAAATGACTCCAGGTCACTAAGGTATATTGTACTGCCCTGTTCTGTGTGTTTCTTTCTCCCAGAATTGGAATAGGACTCAGGATCTCTGCTTACCAAGTTTACAGAGGGCTTACAAGTTGCTAGGTGAGATTAACATGCAGCCAGATAGAGATAAGATGCAAAAAGTATTTAACAATTGGTCAAAAGCCAATAGAATGCAAGTTAATACACTTAAGATAAAGCTTGGGGAAAATCAGCTTTAGGACCACTGATGGGGAATACCTGACTAACTGAACACAGAGTGTATGTATATGAAAAGATCTCTGGGGGCAGCAAATTGGTGATTCACAGGCCAAATATGACCGGCAGACCACAATTTTAAATGCGCAAAGCTTCTTAAAAATTTGAAGTTCAATAGGATCTGACTGGCCCAGCATTCTGCAGTTTACCACCATTCTCATCCCTCCCTGCTACACCCCACAGCTGCTCACATTTACCTGCCTGGTTCCTGCAGGCTTTCGAGTTTGCAATCTCTGACTCCTGGTTTCAATCAATTGCTATCTCAACTGGGGTCAACTGTTGTTATGGTTACCTAAATAGGATTATGCAATTTCAGATGTGTTCAATAAGAGGATAATGTTGAGAACAAAGGGAGTTTGTGGTCTAACCAGACATTGCCCTGCTGTGGCTTTTTGTCTTTTCAGAGGAACATTTATAAATTCCCGGGAATGATGCTAGGGATATGACTCCAAGACTTATCCCTAGAAGATGGTTGAAAAGAAAAGGTTACTTATGGTGGACTCTCAAATTGGTGCCCTTCTCTCTAGCTCCGTTACCCACTACTTAAACCATTATAATCTCACCTTTAAAGATTGCAACAACCCAACTTTCCAGTCCAGAATCTCCTTCTCTCTACTCATCTCATACCCAGTTCATTTCAGTATTATACCTCCTAAGTATTTCCTGAATCTGTACACTTCTATCTCACTCTAGTCCTAACCATCATTATGTCTAGCCTGGGCCAACTGCCTACCATGACATTTAAGCAATTGTACTTGTCCCCTCTAATGCATTTTTCAAGCTGCACACAACAGGACTTTTTAAGTACAAGTACACCACCCAGGCCAGTATAGCTCAGTAGGTTGGGCATGACCCCACAAAGTGAAAGTTTGCCAGTTTGATTCCTGATCGGGGCACATGCCTGGGTAATAGGTTTATTTCCTGGTTAGGGCACATGCAAGAGGCAACTGATTGATGTTTCTCTCTCACCTCAATGACTCTCTATCTTCCCTCCATTTTCCTTTCTCTAAAAAAATCACTAAGCATGTCCTTGGGTGAGGATAAAGAATAAAATTAAAAAATAACAATACACAAGCATAACATTGCCTTCCCTTGCCACCTATGTTCCCACCACATTGGTCTCCACATGACCCAGTTCCTGCCCTCCTCAGACCCTTTGCTGTGGTTGCTTTTCCTCTTTGAAATACTTCTGCTGGATCTTACCACATTTGCCTCCTTTTCAACATGAAATGTCTCACCTCAAATATGAATTCTTTAAGAGGTCTTTTTTTGATCACTCTGGCAGAAGCACCCACTTCCACTTACTTTCTACCATGTTTTTCTAGTTTTCTCATAGCATTTTTTTACCATTGCCTGAAATGCTTTATCTATTTGTTAACATGTTTGCTGTCTATTGCCTCCACTAAATTGTAATTCCGGGGCAAGGATTCTAGTCATTTTGTTCAAGGTTGGATCCCCATTGCACAAAATAAATATTTATTGACTATCCCTGCAAAAAACCATCAAATTCATTGAGAGAGAAAGGCAGAATGAAGGTTTCCAAGTAGGGTGTGGGGCCAAGCAGGTGGAGAATGTGGAGTTAGTTTAATGGCTACAGAGTTTCAGTTTTGCAACATGAAAAAAGTTCAGGAGATGAATGGTGATGATGGTTGGTTGCACAATGATGTGAATATATTAATGACACTGAACTGTACATTTAAAAATGGTTAAGATGGTACTTCTAGTCAAGATGTCGGTGTAGGCAGACATGGCTTGCCTCTTTGCACAACCAGATGAAAATTACAACTAAACTATAGAACTACCATCACTCAGATATGTCAAAAATTGAGTTAAATGGAAGTCTGACCACTGTGGAATTAAAGAAACCACATCCATCCAGACTGGTAGGAGGGGTCCAGACATAGAGTGGGCTGGTCCCACACCCATGTGTGGTGGATAAAAATTCAGTAGGCACATCTGGGGATTAAGGAGTCCCAGTCCCACATCAGCACCCCCAGTCCAGTGTTCCAATGCCTGAAAGATAAGTCCCCACAACTTCTGGCTGCAAAATCCAGTAGGAATTGAGTCAGTGAAAGAAACTTCTGAAGCCCCAAGCAGTTCCTCTTAAAGAACCCACATAAAGGAGTGAGTCACCTTGCAGGCAAGAAGGGGCTGGAAAGAAGTATTCCAAGTCATGAAAGGCAAGGACCTACAGCCAAGATTGTTCTACCCAGAAAAGCTATCCTTTAGAGTGGAAGGGCAGATAAAGAGCATCCCAGACAAGAAAAAACCTAAAGGAGTTCATAATCACCAATTCATTATTACATGAAATATTAAAGAAACTTATTTAATAAAAAATAAAAACTTTAAAAAATAAAATGGCAAAAAGTACATATCTATCAACAATTGAATCTAAAAAACAACTAAGCAGACAAGAACAGAGACAGAATCATGGATATGGAGAGCATTTTGATGGTTGTGAGATGGAGTAAGCATGGGAGAGAATGGGTGAAGAGTTGAGAGGATGAAGGATTGCAAATCGGTAGCTACAGAATAACCATGGAGGTGTAAAAGTACAGCACAGGAAATGGAGTAGCCAAAGAACTTATACACATGACCCATGGACATGAACAATGGTCAGGGGATTGCCTGAAGGAGTGGGGGTTCTGGGTGGAGCAGGGCAAAGGGGGAAAAAAACCAGGACAACTGAAATAGCATAATCAATAAAATATAATTTTAAAAAAATGGTTAAGATGGTGAATTCAAATTATGTATATTTTACCTCAATTATAACTTTTAAAATAATTTTAAATACCTTAATAACTCTGCACTGCTCTGAAGATCAAGACCAAGATCTTTCATTTGTTCTGTAGGATCCAGCTGCTCTGCCCTGCCTATCCCTCCAGCTCATCACTTGCCTATCCCTCCAGCTCATCAACTCATGACTGACTCTCCTGGTTCAGTTCTCAGGGCCAATGACTCGTAAGGCAGAACTGTTTCATCCACTCCCACAGCATTATAAGTTATGTTACTTCAGTGATACTATGTTGTTCTCTGTAGTTTCCCTGGTGTCAAGAGTAGTCAAATGCCAGTATCCACCAGGCATTTGAATAGTTGTTGGGTAACAATGAATAAAACAACCCCAAATGGTAGCAGTTACTATTCCTATTTTACATATGAGAAAGTGGAGGTCCAGAGAAGTTTTTTCACCTGTCCAAGGCCCCAAAACTTGCAAGGGGCAGAACTAGAATTCAGAAACAGATTAGGCTGAAATCAGTGCCCATTGGTGCCTTTGCTCTTCTCTCTGTCTTCTCCTATGTTCCACTCTTGCAGTTTCCATCATCTGCTCAGGACTCCCTGAAGAACCTGTGTATCTTATCACAGAAGCCAAAGCAGCAAATGTTTTAGCCTGTTGCACACACACATACAGAATCACATACTCATAGACATGTACAAACATATACATGCACAAATAAAAATCAGCTCTTTTTCCACTACAGAATTAATTTCATTCCCGAATAAGACAACTATTCCAATAACTGAATGAAAAGAATTGGGCCATGTTAAAGAAAATGCTCATTCATTCATTTATTCCTTCATAAGCCTGTTATTTATTGTGCTCTGGGGATTACAACGAATGAGGAGAAACTGACCAGGTAGAACCATACACCCATTTTGCTAAAATACATCAGGTGTGCTGTGTTTCAGTGTTTCTCAAAGAACATTGCCTCCATTCTCCTATGGACTCCATTAGTATCCCTAATTTACAGGTGAGAAAACAAGCAGATAGGTTAAGTGAACTGATGAAAGCCACACAACTGAACTGTAACAAGAACCCAGGTGTAACTCCCAAACCGACTCTCTTATTTCTCAAAGTTACATATTTAATTCTTGAGAATTTTTAAGTTTTTTTCCCCAGTACTAGAACATAAAATGCCTTTGCTTGCTACTCAAAGTGTAGCATGTAGGTCAGCATCATCAGTATCACCTAGGAGTTTGTTAGCAGTGCAAATTATTAGATTCTACCCCATCTCTACTGTATTGAAATCTGCATTTTAATAAGACCCCAAGTAATTCATGTGCACATGAAAGTTTGCGAAGCATGCTCCAGATTACTGATGAATACAAACACAAAAACCAGATTAATTTTTGTATCTCCCAACGATTTTTTTTCTAGATTTTTCCTTCTTAACATCCAGTTACTTCAGACTGAAAAACTCAAGCTCCCGCGAGAGTGATGGGATTAAATCCTAGTATCTGCTGCCACCTTGTGGTTAGTAGTTTCAACCCAGCCAAAATTTGCTCTTTTCCATGAAATAAAAGGGGGATATGTTGGAAGGAAGGGGTGGACCAGGTACTCAACTTTTCTAGCCATGTGCTTTAAGAGACCACTACAAAATTCCAAGATATAATAAAATAATTCTTGGGGTGCAGTTTGAGAAGACCAGATAACTACTGGCCTTTCCACGTGTATCTCTGGGATGAATAATATTGTCAGCTCTAGTTGAGAGATCTGACAAAAGCTGGGATTATTTGTGTTACTACAGGTTCTTTCCTCTCTGGAAGCCAGCATGCACAGCTGAATGTGATAATCAGTTTGCGTGTGATTATTTTATTACCAACCAGAATGGTGGTGGGTGGATAAGCAGGTCAGCTTTTTCTGCATTTGCCTTGCCCAGGAAGCTACAACACCTATTTCACAAAGTGAAAAGGAATTTCCCACTGCTCTGCCAAATGCATCTTTTTTGGGACCTCTGTGAAGTGGTGAACAAGGCCAGTCCCACTGATGAAGTCTCTAACACCTGGAAGGGAATAAAAAAGAAATTTCAAAAATCTCCTACATATTTTATCCCAAACAGTCCAGAAGTTAAAAGTGCCTGAGTCACCAGGTAATTTTGTTCTGAAGTTTGTCTGCTCTAGAACCAAAAATACCCCAAACTGCTACTACAGGTGACATTGAGAGCAATGGACATCAGTCAGAGCCCTTTAAGTTTGGTTATGGAAGAGTTAGCCAGTACCAAAGAGTTGGGCAGCAACCCAGAAGAAAAAACAGCTCATTCAAAAGGAAGAGGATGGAACGGTAGGAAACTGGGGCTTGCTTTCTTTTCCACAGAGTGAGTTTCTTTGGATTTTACACTAAACAATATTCACTGTGACATTAGAAAAGGTAGCATCTCTTTTTAAGCATTGCATTTGGAAATAAGAGCTCTGTATGATGGAAGAAGAGGGTACTGCCTTTAGACATTAGACTAAGAAGCTTTATTTTGTGATCAGAAAAGTCTTTATTATAGTGAGGAAAACATTTCCTTTCCCCCGAATTTGAGTTTTAATATGGCATATGACCCCAAAGTAAACACTTGATACTAATTTCAGTCTCAGAGTTTTAAACATCATCCATATTATTTTGAAAATTCGGTAGTGCTTTCAAGATGAGTTCATGGTCAATGCTTTTGTTCCTTTTTCCCAGCAATTTGGGCTGCTAAGATATGTACTAACTGTATTTCACCTGTATATACTCTTTAATATAACCTGAAAACTGGCTTACACCTGCTATTTCTTCACAATGGCAACACCATGAACACAGGCATGAAATATTCAAAACAATACATTTTAATGTGGAAAGTCAAATTATTTATTTTCCAATTTCTTTGGCTTCTTTCTTACTAGGGTCATTAGCAATAGCTCAGACACACAGAAATGAATTGTTTTCATGAAGCCAGAAGCATCAAAGACTAAGCTTTTGAACTTTCATGGACAAAATGAAATTTGCAGATATGTTCGCTTATATGAAGAAATAGAGGTTGAAGCACTACAACTGAATAAATTCACTACTAATGAAGTAATATAAAAACTTAAGAAGGGTAGTATTCTTTGCATAACAGAAATAGCAGTTCCATTCCTAGTGCCTGAAGCAAAACCACTGTCATTAATTGTTATAGATAGATCAGGAATGGGGTGGGGGCAGTGGGAGTGGGAGACACATCCTAGAGATTCAGAGACTTAGAACTGGGCTTTTTACCTGAGGGGTTGCACAGATGACCTTCAGGGTTCCCGGACCTCCTAAAATGTATTTTCAGTGTCTTATATGTGTGCTTGTGTGTATTTACAGTAGTAGAAAAAGATGGCTTTATTAAAAGGGGTCTATGGAAGATTAATCCTAGCTCATAAATAACTTTTGGGTGAATTAGAAAATGACACTCCTTCCTCAGGACACTGTACTACCATCTGCTAGAAAGTTGTTAGAGTATCTATACACAACTGTGAGGACTAAATGTGACTTGCACCTTCTGGAAGTTGCAATGTGTTAATTGGTAGAACTCTGCTAACCCAGGAAAACTCCCTTCTTTTGACCTCTACCTTGTGCTCCCCCATCTTTTACATTTTTCCCACACAGATCTGATCCACATGGTACTAAAAGCTATCATTGATTGAATGTTTTGTTAGGTTCCAAGCACATAAGTTATTTTCTTTTATCCACACATTTCTGAGAATAGTATGCCTATTTTCATATGAGAAAACAGAAGCTTAAAAAGTTAAAGAACATATCCAAGATCACACAACTATGAAGTGTGTTGTTGGGTTGAGCCAAGATCATTTAACTCTGGCACCTGGGGTCTTTCTTACATACTTCCTATGTGTAATGACAGAGAAACTGGATAACTTAAGTCCAGTTTTGAACAGTGTTTTCCTGAAGTATGGTATATGTGCTACTGGTGGTATATGAGATATTTTACATAGTATATAAAAAAACATATTTTAATGGTTACTAATATATTTATATCCACATTTGAAATATATCCAGGGTCCAGCAGAAGTAAGGCCTGTTCAAATGCCACTGGTAGGGTAATAATATGGGAGTAATAATTTGTGGTTTTAATCTGCTTGTGTGGTTGGTAGGGTAATGATATGGGTATAATAATTTATAATTTGAACATTTCACCTAAAATGTCAAAGGTGTGCTTGAGTATGATATTGTGTTACATAATTACATGCTTATGATTTTGTAATAAAAGATTTTATAATAAAAAAGCAGTGTTATTTGTGCCACTTTTACAAGTACAAACAGGTACCCATTTGATATAACATAATATAAAACCTGTGATTTCACCCAAAGAAAAGAAGATTTATGTTCACACAAAAGCCTGTATACAATGGTTGTAGCTTTATTTATAATAGCACTGAATGGAAAACAACCTAAATGTCTTCCAATGAGTGAATGTTAGACAAAGTGTGGTACATCCACACCATAAAATGCTACTCAGCAATAAAAGAACAAATTATTGACATGCACCAATGTGAGTGAGTCTCCAGAGAAATATGCTGTGTGAAAAAAGTAAATCCCAAAAGGTTATATACTATATGATTCCATTTATACAACATTATCTAAAAGATGTAAATTTTACACATGAAGGACAACTTAGTGGTTGCCACATGTTAAAGAAAATGTGAGGTGAGGAGAAGTGGGTGTGGCTATAAAACATAAAGGATTCTGATTGTGATAAACATGTTGTATATCTTGATAGTGTCAATGTCAATACTTTGGTCATGATAATGTGTTATAGTTTTGCAAGAGGCTACCATTGGGAGAAACTGGATAAAGAGTACACAGAGAATTTCTTTGAAAAAAAAAATAGGCTTAACATATATTTTTAAATCATTTTTTACTTTTCTATTAGAATTGTCCCAATTTTTCCTCCTTTGTCCTCCTCCGCCCATCCCACCCACCCACACCTCACCCCTGCTCCCACAGTCAATTCCCAAACTGTTGTCTATGTCTGTGGGTCATTCATACATGTTTTTTGTCTAGTCCCTTCCCCTTCTGTCCACCATTATCCCCCTTCTCCTCCCCTCAGGGCATTCTCAGTCTGTTCCATGTTTCCATGCCTATGGTTTTATTTTGTTTGTTGGTTTATTTTGTTCATTAGATTCCTCTTACAGGTGAGATCACATGGTATTTGTCTTTCACTGACTGGCTTATTTCACTTACCATAATACTCTCCACATCCATCCAGGCTGTTGAAAAAGGAAGGAGCTTCTTTCTTTCTGCTGCATAGTATTCCATTGTTAAAGTACCACAATTTTTTGATCCATTCATTTACTGATGGGCACTTAGGCTATTTCCAGCACTTGGCTATTGTAAATAGCACTGGTACAAACATAGGGGTACATAGGTTCTTTTGAATTGGTTATTCCAAACTCTTAGGGTATAATCCCAGCAACAGAATTGCTGGGTCAAAAGACAGTTTTAGTTTTTTGAGGAAACTCCATACTGTTTTCCACAGTGGCTGTACCAGTCTGCATTCCCACCAACAGTGCAGGGAACAGTGCAGGGAGCTAGGGTTTCCTTTTCTCCACATCATTGCCAGCTTGTTGTTTGTTGATTTGTTTATGATGGCCATTCTGATCTGTGTGAGGTGATACCTCATTGTGCTTTTAATTTGCATCTATCTGATGGCCAGCGATGTTAAGCATATTTTCATATGTCTATGGGCCATCTGTATGTCCTCCTTGGAGAAGTGTCTATTCAGGTCCTTGGCCCATTTTTTTAATTGGATTGTTTGTCTTCTCAGTGTTGAGCAATCTATAGATTCAACACAATTCCTATTAAAACACCAATGGCATATTTCACAGATCTAGAACAAGTATTTCAGAAATTTATATGGAACCAACAAAGACCCCAAATAGCCTCAGCAATCTTGAGAAAGAAAAACAAAATAGGAAGGATCACAATACCCAATATCAAACTATACTACAAGTCCACAATAATAAAAACAGTCTGGTATTGGCATAAGAACAGGCACATATAAATGGAACAGAATAGAGAACCCAGAAATAAACCAATGTCTCTATGGTCAATTAATATTTAACAAAGGGGACATAAGCATGCAATGGAGTAAAGACAATCTTTTCACCCTGGCTGGTGAAGCTTAGTGGATTGAACACTGTGAACCAAAAGGTTGCCCGTTTGATTTCCAGTTGGGGCACATGCCTAGGTTGCAGGCTGGGAGGGAACCCATCAATGTTTCTCTCATACATTGATTTTTCTATACTTCTCTTTCTTCCTTCCACACTCTCTAAAATAAATAAATAAAATCTCTTTAAAAAAAAAAAGACAGTCTCTTCGGTAAACAGTGTTAGGAGAAGTGGACTGGTACATGCAAAAAAATGAAACTAGACTACCAACTTATACCATGTACTAGAATAAACTAAAAATGGATAAAAGACTTGAATATAAATGATACTATTAAAGTCCTAGAGGAAAACACAGGCAGGAAAATTTCAGATGTTCCATGTAGCAACATTTTTGCCAACATATCTCCTAGGGCAAGGGAAATAAAGGAAAAAATAAACAAATGGGACTACATAAAACTAAAATGCTTCTGCACACCTAAAGAAAACATTATCAGAATGAAAAGGGGGAACCGACTGTGTGGGAAAACATGTTTGCCAATGATACATTGGGCAAGGGTTTAATCTCTAAAATATATAAAGAACTTAACATATTATTTCTTACAACTACATATGAAGCTACAATGAAAATGAAAACTATAGTTTTTTTTAGATCCCTGGGATTTTATGGGTAGTACTGCTTTGGATGAGATTAACAAAAATCTGTTAATTGAGGAACAATGTTAGGTAAATTCTGGTATCATGAAATGGGTGATGTTCACTCTAGAACAGAGGATAACAACACAGACCTTGGGATCAGATTGGTTGGGCATAAGTTATTTAATCTTTCCAAGTTTTAATTTCCTTATTTTCAAAAGGTAGATGACCATATGAGGGTTAAATTATGTGATACACATGAAAGAAAGTAGTGTTTAGCACATAGAAAGCATTCAGAAATTTTATTTATTTTCATTACTAAAATATGCCAAAATGATGAAGATGGTATGTGAATATTTAGAATTTTGGAACTATGTGTTTAGAGTTATTCTAAATGGATGTTCTCTGTAAATGGGACCTTGGAAACTATTTCTTTATTGACTACTCTAGCGACTCTTTCCTCTCTCGCCACTGCAGCCTTAGAATCACCAAATCCAGCAAAAACTATCTCAAACCATCATTGAAATAACATTGCCAATTTGTCAATATAAGGTAATATATTCTACCAGTCACACACCAGGATTAAAATCTGCACTTGTGCTTGGTCAATTAATTTAATCTCTCTATGGCTCAGTTTACTCATTAGTCAAATTAGGAGATAATATAACCTTCCTACTATGAGGATTAAATTAAATAGTGGCCAGAATGCACTTACTACAGTTTAGTGACAAGACACCAAGTAGTTACTTTGGCTTTATTTTTCTGTGACTTGATTCTCTGGATTGTACAGTTTGTTCATATTTACAACTTGGATTTTAATTATTTCAAATGTTTGCTTTTAATTTCCTTAATACGAATTATTGTTATTTTGTTTAGATGGCACAGAGCTGTGTCTACCAACTTAGTAAAACAAAATGCATTGGTCCCCGAAGAGGAATCATCTAGTAGTAGCAACATGGAATTTCATGAAAGCCATCAAGTCAGAAGGAAAATGTGATAAAAAAAAAAGTGAAGACTTTGGTGGACAGGATGTTGTCAAACAAGTACAGATGTAAGCCCGCAAGTGTCAGTGGAGAGGGTACCACACAGAGCCTTCTTCCTACAGTTGTCAAGGAGCTTCCATTGCCAAGATTATTCTCCACACCAAGAATGAGAAAGCTCTTACAGAATGGTAATCACAGGCAATATATGGTTAAGGGTTGGGGCCAATAGGAACAATGAAATTAGGATGGATTTTCTCGCTACCCAATGATGAACTTGTCCGAAATACAGGCTCCCAAACCCCACCCAGGTCTACCAAGTCAACATCTGCATGTTAGAAAGATCCCGAGGACTTCTGGTAAGATGGAGGCATAGGTGGATGCATCATACCTCCACGCACAACCAAGATTGGAACAACAACAATTTAGAGGCAGAATAACACCCAGAGCTGATAGAAAATTTATCTGAATGGAAGTCGGACAGCCAAGAAGTTGAAATAGACCTGTTCATCCAGACTGGTAGGAGGGGCGGAGATGAGTAGCTGGACTCGGGTCGAGGCGCGGAGAACAGGGAGAGTTGGGCACATAAGGCAACCAGGAGTGTTTAAGGCATCTGGTGCGTGCAAGATCGCAGCGGGTGGACCCTGAGTACGAAAGCAGCAACTGGTAGACCCAGTGAGGCAGCGATTGTGGACCAGGGCAGAGCACACAACCCAGGATCCCAGGAAAGGGACTGAAGTCCCATGGAGAACAGAGCTACCACCATTGTTCCCTCTTGACCCCGCCCTCACATACAACATCACAATCTAGCGACTGGGGTGCCCAGCCCTGCTGAACACCTAAGACTCTGCCCCTCACTGTAACAGGAGTGACCAGACCTCCCCCCCCAAAAAAAAGGGAGGGAGAGAGAGAGAGAGATGGCTCAAACAGAACAAATCAGTGCCCCAAAACTCATCCTTTTGAGCGACCAAGAGATAGCTAGCCTATCAGATGCACAGTTCAAAACACTGGTGATCAGGAAGCTCACAGAATTGGTTGGTTTTGGTCGCAAATTAGATGAACAAATGCAGGTTACCATAAAAGAAATGAAGAAAAATGCACAGGGAACCAATAGTGATGGGAAGGAAACTGGGACTCAAAACAATAGAGTGGACCAGAAGGAAGAAAGAAACAACCAAACAGGAAAGAATGGAGAACTAAGAATTCAAAAAAACAAGGAGAAGCTTAGGAACCTCCAGGACATCTTTAAACGTTCCAACATCCGAATTACAGGGGTACCAGAAGGGGAAGAGGTAGAGCAACAGATTGAAAACGTATTTGAACAAATAATAAAGGAGAACTTCCTCATTCTGGCAAAGGAAATAGACTTCCAGGAAGTCCAGGAAGCTCAGAGAGTCCCAAAGAAGTTGGACCCAAGAAGAAACACACCAAGGCACATCATAATTACATTAGCCAAGGTAAAAATGAAGGAGAGAATCCTAGAAGCAGCAAGAGATACAGGGACAGTCACCTACAAAGGAGTTCCCATCAGACTGTCAGCTGATTTCTCACAAGAGACCTTACAGGCAAGAAGGGGCTGGAAAGAAGTATTCCAAGTCATGAAAGACAAGGACCTATATCCTAGATTACTCTATCCAGCAAAGCTTTCATTTAGAATGGAAGGGCAGATAAAGTGCTTCTCAGATAAGGTCAAGTTAAAGGAGTTCATCATCACCAAGCCCTTATTTTATGAAATGTTAAAGGGACTTATCTAAGAAAAGATTTAAAAAACACATGTATAGTAAAAGGACAGCAAACTCACAATTATGAACAACCACACCTAAATCAAAACCAAAAGAAACTAAGCAAACAACTAGAACAGGAACAGAACCACAGAAATGAAGATCACATGGAGGGTTAGCAATAGGGGAATGGGAGGAAGAGAGAGGGGGAAAAGGTACAGAGAATAAGTAGCATAGATTGTAGGTGGAAAATAGACAGGGGGAGGGTAAGAATGGTATGGGAAATGTAGAAGCTGAAGAACTTATAAGTATGACAGACATGAACTAAAGCGGGGGTAAGTAGGTGGGAGAGGGTGTACAGGGTGGGGGGAAATGGGACAACTGTAATAGCATAATCAATAAAATATATTTAAAAAAAGGAAAGACCCCCAGGTAACTTGAATGTACACACATCTTAAACAGTTCTGAATTAGATTGCCTTTGAGGCACCTCCCAGTGCAATTGATCACTGGTTTAATTAGTTTAAAGCTCCTTTTTAGTTAATTATACAGGGTCTGGCACAAATAACTCCCCTTTTTTATTATAAAATCTTTTTTTAAAAGATTTTATTTATTTATTTTTAGGTAGAGAAGGGAGGGAGGGAGGGAGAGAGAGAGAGAAACATCAATGTGTGGTTGCTGGGGGTTATGGCCTGCAACCCAGGAATGTACCCTGGCTGGGAATCGAACCTGGGACACTTTGGTTCCCAGCCCGCGCTCAATCCACTGAGCTACGCCAGCCAGGGCTAAAATCTTTTATTACAAAATAATAAGCATGTAATTCTGTAACATAACCATATCACACTCAAGCATACCATATGGGATTTTAGGTGAAATGTTCAAATTAAGACTATAAATTATTACACCCATATCATTGTCCTACCAACCACACTCAAGCAGGCAGTACTTCTGCCAGACCTCGTATATACACAGATAGACATATGTATGTGCGTAGGCATGTATACATACACATGTACTAGGGAATCAAACTAAAGTGGGATGGCTAATTCCAACAGTAGAGGGTATAGAGAGAATTCTATGAATAAAATTATGATTGATAAGTCATAAAGGATATTTTATTTTATTCTATTGTATCAACTTCTCATGTACTTTATGGAAGAATCAACATCTGAAGAAAAACATTGTCATTTTTGCAAGGTAGTATTGCTGATTTATGAGGTCCTATGAGTGGTAGGTAACAATACCACTAATACTTGCATTCTTCTCTGTCACTTTTAAAAATTAATAGATCTTATTTTTTAGAGCAGGTTTTAGATTTACTGGAAAAATTGAGCAGAAAATACCTACAGTTAGTCCCAGTATGGCCCCTTTTCTCACCCCACCCTCACAATTGATGAGCCCTTAACTGATATATTATTATCATGAACTAAAATTCATAGTTTATATTAGGGTTCATTCTATGCCCTGCACAGTTCTATGGGTTTGAAAAACTCATCAAGTCGTGTCATGTGTCCACTATGACAACATCATACAGGATAGCTTCACTGCCCTGTAGAGCCCCTGTAGCTTTTTAATATCCTTTACAGCATAGCATCAGGGAACATATACAACCCTTCTGTACATGCAGGGAAGCCACACATATTTTCACATTTCACACAGTGATGAGGGTGAAAACCTTGAGAGTACTTTTTCCAGAAAAAATAAAATGAAAAACTGATTACTTCAAGTTGGCTGATTGTCCTTTCAAACAAACTCTTCTGGGAAAAGCAGTAACTATGCAAACATCCAAGCATCTATCAATTACCTGGTATGAAGTGAGTGACCTGCCTTTTTCCGTTGAAAGTAACAGAGGACGTGCTTCTATATTGATGAAACAGGGGTTGGAGAGTCCAGCAGGGGACAGAAGACCATATTCCTTTTCCTGATTTTTGTGCATTGGCTTATTTTTGTCTTAGTTGCAGTAACAAATCTCTACACTAAGATTTCTCCAGAAAACCTGCTTGTCCTTCACACTGTAGCTAAAATATTACAACCTTGTCTCAACTACAGCCCAAACACCATTGCTCTCCCCATACCAGTTTTCAACCAATATTTGCTAAATACATATTACACGTCAGCCACACATCAGGGACAGGGTAGCAGATAGAACAGACATGATCCCTACTTCCGTGGAGTTACAGCACACAGGGACATTCTAACATGATATAGACAGTTGCATCTGATGCAAAGTAGAACACAGGGTGCTATGAAAACATGTCATGCATGCTACTTTAGGGGAGGAGGCTCCAGAAAGGCCTCGAGGCCTTTGAGTTGCCCGAAGAAAGGGCAACTCAATAGAGATCTGAAGGACACCTTGAGTCAAATTAAAAAAGAACGAGGAGAACTGTGTCCCAGGGAAAAGGAGAGCATGTTCAATCCCAATATCAAGAAAGCACCAGACATAATGAAAAAATGAAAGTAATCCAGCCAGGACTGAGGAGGCAAAGGTGTTATCAGCCCTGTTAAGAATTTTTTACTTTTCCTAAGGATGATAAGAAACCATCAAATACTTGCAACCTGGGGATTTAAATAATCTGATTTGAGTCTTAAAAAGATAGCTCAGTCTGCAGAGTGGAGACTGGTTTGGAGGAAGGCAGGAGCAAATGCAGGAAGAACAATAAACAGACTCTTATATTCATTCAGTCAAGGGATGACATTAGCATGGCTGGTGACAGCAGTGGGGATCGAGGAGACAGACAGTAGAGGGTGGGGGAGAGGAAAGAATCCCTGAGCTGAGCACCTGCTTTGAAAGTGGAGACCCCATTCACCAAGATTAAATGCTGTGGCTCAGGGAGAGTGTCCTTATCTACTGACCTCAAGCAGGACAAGATGACTTGAGGTGCTGTGCACAGCAAATCATTGAGACACAGAGCAAACTGCAAACACATTTGCCCACTGCCCCCATCAATCTCTTTAACCACATCAAGGAAAATGTCTCATTTCCTGCCTTTTACTCTTCTTTTTTAGTAAACTTCAAGTTTAGTGCCTTCTACAGCCAGGAACATGGTTTTGTTTTTACTATGTTAATTTTAATGCCTATTTATGATACTGCTTTTTGATTTGTGGTAGCATTTTAAAGTTTTCTTTAGAAATACACTTATTGTGTTAAGAATAGAATTAATATAAAAATATTAAATAGTTCACATGGCTCCTCGATTATGGGAAATTCTGTTAGGATGGCATGTCAACCCCTGAGACTTGAGCCATATTGCTGATGGGTAAATTTAAAATTTACTTCAACCAACAACAAATATTCCAGGGATGTCTTACATATTACAGGTTACTTTTTCAAATTTCACAACAGTTGAAAGGAAAAGCAACAGAAGGCAAACTGAAGTCTCCAAGGCAGAGAGAGAGACTTGTTAACACTGATATCACAACCCCAGGAAAATGCAGATGTGGCAAGAGAAAGCATAGGATACAGAAAAGCAAATCCATGTGTAATTTTTAATCCTAAGGAAAAAACTACCGAGGCAACATGTGATGCTGTCTTTTTCAGAATACTTTCTAATCGGAAGAATATGTTTATCACTGTGATCATTACAGGTTCTTTTCTCCCCCCCACCACTCCCTTCACTCTAAGCAACTATAAAACTTGATGTTGTAGAAGAGAGACAGGAGATAACCCAAGGAAATACACTCCTCTGGGCCAGGAGAACTACCAAACGGTTTTCTGTGACATCCCTTCCTTCAGTACTGCAGAAGATATTGTAAAATGCTGAAACAAATTGGCCTCTGAAGACTCACATACGGTTAATGTTTAGGATGTTATAAATGCCAGGTTCTCTCCCACCACATGTCCACCTCATAAGAAAGCTGTTCAATCTCCTGTTTAGGTCTCCTTTCCAAAAATTTACGGTCCAGAAAACAGGCTAATCAGGTCTGATTCCTCCATTTCTGAGCTCAAACTGTTTAGTTTCTACTACAACCTGGGTAACAATAGAGTTTAGTGCTCTATATTACTATTTTAACTGTTCAAATACCAAGTTAGTATACCAGTATCTGGTCTATCATGCATGTCATGTGGAGAGCATTCACTAACCAGTACTGCCCAGCAGAACTTTCTTTGAGGATTCAAGTGTGCATTTGGCCAATATAGTAGGCACTAGCCATGTCCAGATTTTCAGACTGAAATGTTGCCAGTGCAACTGAGGAACTGAATTTTTAATTTTATTTCATTTTATTTGAAATTAAAATGTGAATGGTCACAGGTATAGGTAGTATAGAGAGTGCAGCACTAGACCATCTATGATTGTCCAAACATATGCTTGCATTTATCTGTAGGTATGTAAATTTGAGCCTTAATTGCTCAGTCTGAACTATTATTATTTTAAATATAACAAATATTTACATAAAGTTAACTATATTCAAGGCCCTATTCTAAGTGCTTTAAAAATATCAACTTATTGGCCCCGGATGGGTGGCCTAATTGGTTGAAGCATCATCTCATACACCAAAAGGTTGCTGGTTCAATTCCTGGTCAGGACATACAGCTAGGTTGCAGGTTCCATGCCTGGTCAGGGAGCATATGGGAGAAAAACAATTGATGTTTCTCTCACACCAATATTTTTCTCTCTCTCTCTCCCTTCCTTCCTATCTCTCTAAAAGCAATAAAAACATATACTTTAGTGAGGATAAAAAGTATATCAACTTATCAGATAATTCTTAGAATAGTCCTATAAGGTATGGCAATGTTATCCTTAGTTTGGAGATGGCATAGAGGTTAAGTAATTTGACCAGACAAGTGGCAGAATCAGGCTTCTAACCCAGAAAGATCTGGCTCTAGAGTCCTTGCTCATTAATTATTATGCTAAGTACTAATTGTAACATCCAATATGGCAGTCAATAGCTACAGGTGACTGTTTGTTAATTAAAATTAAATTAAATATTCAGCCCAGCCTGTGTAGTTCAGTGGATTGAGCATGGGTTTTCGAACCAAGGGATTGCTGGTTCAATTCCCAGTTGGGGCACATGCCTGGGTTGTGAGCTAGGTTCCCGGTGGGGGGTACATGAGAAGCAATCACAGATTGATGTTTCTCTCTTTCTCTCCCTCCCTCCCTTCCTTCCTCTCTTTAAAAATAAATAAATAAATAAATAAATAAATAAATAAATAAATAAATATTTTTAGAAATAATTTTTTAAAATATAAATATTCACTTTTTTATTGCACTAGGTACATTTCATGTACTCAGTAAATATGTGGCTAGCGGCAACACAGATAAAGAACATTTTTGTTTTCACAGAAAGTTTAATTAAAAAGCACCACTCTAAAACATCACTGTCAGAGTGGACCAACATTACTTTTGAATCTGGCTTCTTTCATGCAAGGTTCATATTTATTGTATTCCTATTATGTGCTGGGCAATTCCTAGGTTTGGGGCTATAAGGGTGATCCTATGGACATGATCCTATTTTGTGGGATTCTACAGTTTAATAGAAGAGATAGACATTAAACCATGGCACTGTAGAGGAATAAGAATAATCATTGGAATAAATGGTGCTGAGACAGGCAGAGATGGAGGGAAAGATGAAATTTAATCCCTATCTCACACATTATGCAAGCTTAGTTTATGTTGGGGTATAGATCTCTGTGGAACAGGTAAAAACTTAAAACTTTTTTATAACTTTTTTAAAGATTTTATTTATTTATTTTTAGAGAGGGAAGGGAGGGAGAAAGAGAGAGAGAGGGAAACATCAGTGTGCAGTTGCTGGGGGCCATGGTCTGCAACCCAGGCATGTGCCCTGACTGGGAATAGAACCTGTGATGCTTTGGTTCACAGCCTGCACACAATCCACTGAGCTATGCCAGCCAGGGTTAAAACTTAAAACTTTTTAAGGACAATAAGAATATCTTTATGATTTCAGTATAGAGAAAGGCTTCTTAGAACACATCATTCACCACAAAGGAAAAGATGGATGTGTAACCGAACACAGAACTAGCTACCTGTCACAATGAAAGCCCAACACATGAGACAGGTATTGGTGAAAAAGTAACATGGTTTATTTTAAATGCCACCAGCCCAGAAGATGGAGGAATCTTGTCCCAAAGCCCATTTTGCTATCTCTGGTCAAGCCAGTGGTTCTTAGGGGAGTTGGTTGGAATTTGGGAGGGGAAAACTTCCTAGGAGTGAGGATGTGCAAGTGCTGGTTGGTGCGAAAGGAAGGTGGGAGTAAGGGGAGGGGCTGTGGACATGCAGGCCACAGAATGAATTTTCACGGTCAACATCCCTGAGTTGGCCACCTGGGTTTTTGTCAGTTGAATTCCTAAACCAGGACCTTGAGGTCAGGCTGCTCCTTAGGTTCACATAGGAACTGTCACTGCTGAGCTATAAAGTGTACTTAGAAAGAAACTCAGAACACTCCAGTTCTAGTTTTGAGGGAAAAACTAGACTAATAAGCTGGGTTTGATATTTACTAAGATTAATACTGGTAGCTTTATATAAGTATAGTGTATTCATTCCTTGTTACAGATATATTGGCTATATGAAAACTAAGAATTTCTGTTCAGCAAAAACATTACATCAGGTGCTGACACATCTTCATGAACTGGCCAATGGGAGAACGGCAGGGAGATAAGCAGCTGGCATGGTCCCCTGGCCAGTGGGTGGTGCATCCCATGCCTGAAACCTGGACCTGAGTACAGAGGGTTCAGTCCTACCCCCACATGGTCAAATGGTGCATCAGACCCAGGGTGAGGCAGTAGAGGCAGCCCTCATGAGGCCCTTAATCCAGGCAGTTGACTGACCAGATGATGAACGACAAGCTTCACAATGAATGCCCGGGTACAATGTAAGGGCTGCAGCCAGGACGGCAGTAGTGCCCTGGGCACTACTCTGCAGCCTTAGCCCCCCACAAAGGGGAAGAGGAAGAAGAGTCTGGGGTGGCTGCACAGTTAGGGCCTTAGCCTGTGCTCTACACCTGCATCAGGGACTTACTCACTTTGGAGAGCTTCAAGTTGGAGCTGCAGAATATGCTTCACATGTCAGCTTCAGTGAGGTCTGGCATTTTCTGGTCCACTTTGGTCTGCAACTGCACGAGAATAAATTCTTCAGGCAACTTTCTGTGCCTTTGTGACATTCCACAGCACCGCTGAGTGAGACAAGGCCTTGTGTGTGCTGCACAATATCCTCTGGAAGGGCCACCCTCTCAGCATGTGCCTGGTCAGGCCCAAGGCTGAACCCACGACCAGGAAGAGGCAACATGAGGAAGAGTCAGTGTGCAGATGCATGGCAGAGGTAGTGACCCCTCTTTGGACTGTATCCTATGCTAAGCAGCTTAATTGGAAATGACTAGAGTGTGAACAGGTGCTGCAGAAGCTTGCCAAGGAAATTGGGAATACCAACCATGCCTTGCTGCCCTGCTAAGGCACAAGCACAACAAAGCCTGCTGTATTCTGCAGGGGGTCAGGTTGTCACTCCAGCAGACTGTCATAACAAGTTTGAGTTTCTGATGGGCATCAGGTGGACAGAGGGACAACACTGTCAGCTGTGGCTAGGAGAGTACACAGACATGTACTGGGGTGGCCCCCTTTGGCACCATGCACATCCATGAGGCCACCAAGTAGGTAGTAAAGGCCTTCCAGGAATTCACCCAGTCTACTTGGTACTTGGCATATGATCCAGAGACATTCTCAGACCACTGGAAGAAGCTGACTGTATGCACTAACTGTCTGGGGCCAAGCCATGGCCACTGACTTCCACCCTCAGAGACTGAGCCCTGAGGAGCTGGCAGGGCCAAAGGCCTCCTTGGTGCAGCACTTCATAGTGGAGCCGGGTAAGGCCAGTGGAGTTACTTGTCTCTATTTCATGAAGGAAGAACAGTAAAAGACTCCAGCTGAAAGGGCCTGCCTCTGGAGTGCATGGCTGGGAACCAGCATATCCACAAATATCTGCTGGGGTTGATCTTCCAGATTTCCTCTCACACCTTCCAGGTAAACAGCCCTACTGCTGAAGTGCTCTACACAGTCATCCAGGACTGGATCAGCTGGACACGAGGAATACAGTGCTGGATGTGTCTGAGGCACTGACACCATTGGCCCGGCCCTGACCTGGAAGGTGAAGAGAGCATGGGGACTGAGCTGTGCCAGGAGGTTGTGACGGTTGCCTGGGGGAAGACCCACAACAATGAGTTGAGCAATGCTGAGTTCCACTGCTGAATGGTGGAGGATCTGGTCCTTGCTCTGGTGAGCACACTGGTTTTCCAGCAGCTCATTGCTATCCTGTACCCACCTGGAACCCACCTGTATCCCAAAGTGACCCTGGCTGTCCACACAGCTTAGAACATCAAGTGGCTCTGGGTGTCCAAGGGCAATTTTGTAGATCTTTTCAGAGCCCTGTTTAACCAGGTAAAGGGCACCCCCTTCCAGCCAGGGAAAACAGTGGCTGTGGACCTGTTCCTATAGACACTACTTTGCAAGATGTTTATCTTGAGAGGATGGAGGACCCCAATGACACAGAGGCCCCAGAGCACCAGGACCCTCCCGCCCAATACTCACTGGGACCCCCTATGATACCCACAAGGAAGTTGGGTCTTCCCCTCCTTCCTAGACCCTGGAGCAGTGGAAACTAGCCCTTCTAGAACAGAGCCCAATCTGTATAAGGGCAGAAAGCAAGTGGCTCCTCAAGTCCTTGCCTCACCCCAAAACTCTCAGAGGCAGTAACCAACAGGGCACAAGGCCTGGCTGTCTGTCAAGGGCCAGCCTGTCTCCATACACTGTAGGCTCCTGCTCCCTGCATATGCACTCATTCTTTTGAGATCAGTTGGGCCACAAAGGCTCAAGTAAACAACTGCTGAATAAAAAGCAGGGAAAAATTCATTTTACAAAATTAAATAAAATGTTGTCTACTGGGTATAGAAAGGTTTTGTTTAGCTCACAGAATATTCTAAAAAATATTTAAATTGCCCACATTTAAAAATTAGATTATTTCAAATAAAAATCTGAATTTTCAGCTTTCTTTTGAAAAACAGGAAGATGTGTAAACTTGAGGCCCCCAGTTCCTCATGGCAACAGCAGAAGCTGTGCAGAGACTGCTCCCTTTGCTTAAGGCATGTTCTCTCCAGTTCACACCAGCCTCACTGGTTCTGTTTTACAAAACCTGCCTGGCCTTTCCAGGCATTTGACTTTATATTACTGGTATTGAACAACACACAAGTAACTTAGTAATTACCAAGGGTGGTAAATACTTCATAGGCAAAAAAAGTACTGAATTTTATGAGAGAGAAGTGAGGAGTCCAACTATATACAGATTGGAGGAGGTACTGCAAGCAACATTTGAGCTTGGGCAAGCTTGTAGTCAGCTCAGCTGACTGATTTGTAAACTCCCCCACCAGTCAAAAGCTGGGAACCAGATATGGTCTCATATCCTACTTTACGTAGGTCTCACAATCATCCTAATGTTGTTTATTAGACAGAGGGGGAAGAGTGAACGCAATGAGACCAAAAAGGGCATATTGGCCAGGAGCCATGACCTAGAAATGATTACTAATAGCAATACTATTAGAACAGGTACTTGTAACCAGCACACCAGGGACGAGAGGGAAAAATCAGGCATGCTGTGAAAAGAATGCAGAGCTTCGACTTCCGGCCAAGACGGAGGCATAGGTGGACACACCTTACCTCCACGCACAACCAAGATTGGAACAACAACAATTTAGAGGCAGAATAACACCCAGAGCTGATAGAAAATTTATCTGAATGGAAGTCGGACAGCCAAGAAGTTGAAATAGACCTGTTCATCCAGACTGGTAGGAGGGGCGGAGATGAGTAGCTGGACTCGGGTCGAGGCGCGGAGAACAGGGAGAGTTGGGCACATAAGGCAACCAGGAGTGTTTAAGGCATCTGGTGCGTGCAAGATCGCAGCGGGTGGACCCTGAGTACGAAAGCAGCAACTGGTAGACCCAGTGAGGCAGCGATTGTGGACCAGGGCAGAGCACACAACCCAGGATCCCAGGAAAGGGACTGAAGTCCCATGGAGAACAGAGCTACCACCATTGTTCCCTCTTGACCCCGCCCTCACATACAACATCACAATCTAGCGACTGGGGCGCCCAGCCCTGCTGAACACCTAAGACTCTGCCCCTCACTGTAACAGGAGTGACCAGACCTCCCCCCCCAAAAAAAAGGGAGGGAGAGAGAGAGAGATGGCTCAAACAGAACAAATCAGTGCCCCAAAACTCATCCTTTTGAGCGACCAAGAGATAGCTAGCCTATCAGATGCACAGTTCAAAACACTGGTGATCAGGAAGCTCACAGAATTGGTTGGTTTTGGTCGCAAATTAGATGAACAAATGCAGGTTACCATAAAAGAAATGAAGAAAAATGCACAGGGAACCAATAGTGATGGGAAGGAAACTGGGACTCAAAACAATAGAGTGGACCAGAAGGAAGAAAGAAACAACCAAACAGGAAAGAATGGAGAACTAAGAATTCAAAAAAACAAGGAGAAGCTTAGGAACCTCCAGGACATCTTTAAACGTTCCAACATCCGAATTACAGGGGTACCAGAAGGGGAAGAGGTAGAGCAACAGATTGAAAACGTATTTGAACAAATAATAAAGGAGAACTTCCTCATTCTGGCAAAGGAAATAGACTTCCAGGAAGTCCAGGAAGCTCAGAGAGTCCCAAAGAAGTTGGACCCAAGAAGAAACACACCAAGGCACATCATAATTACATTAGCCAAGGTAAAAATGAAGGAGAGAATCCTAGAAGCAGCAAGAGATACAGGGACAGTCACCTACAAAGGAGTTCCCATCAGACTGGCTGATTTCTCACAAGAGACCTTACAGGCAAGAAGGGGCTGGAAAGAAGTATTCCAAGTCATGAAAGACAAGGACCTACATCCAAGATTGCTCTATCCAGCAAAGCTTTCATTTAGAATGGAAGGGCAGATAAAGTGCTTCTCAGATAAGGTCAAGTTAAAGGAGTTCATCATCACCAAGCCCTTATTTTATGAAATGTTAAAGGGACTTATCTAAGAAAAGATTAAAAAAACACATGTATAGTAAAAGGACAGCAAACTCACAATTATGAACAACCACACCTAAATCAAAACCAAAAGAAACTAAGCAAACAACTAGAACAGGAACAGAACCACAGAAATGGAGATCACATGGAGGGTTAGAAACAGGGGAGTGGGAGGAAGAGAGAGGGGGAAAAGGTACAGAGAATAAGTAGCATAGATTGTAGGTAGAAAATAGACAGGGGGAGGGTAAGAATAGTTTGAGAAATGTAGAAGCTGAAGAACTTAATGACATATGGACATGAACTAAAGGGGGTAAGTAGGTGGGAGAGGGTGTACAGGGTGGAGGGAAGTGAAGGGGGAAGGAAAATGGGACAACTGTAATAGCATAATCAATAAAATATATTTAAAAAAAGAATGCAGAGCTTCCTTTTTATGTTTGGAGACATGTCTTTCATGAAAATAAGGAAACCTACAGAAAAAAGAAAGACCAAATTAACAACTGGATCCAGTGATAATGAGCTTTCCGGGGCACTGGTCCATAGGAGCTCCACACTATGTTCAGCAGCTGCACAGGCAGTTTCTTCTGCTTACGAATGACCTGCTTTTTTCCTGACACTGTATATTCTTTCAGAACCGGACAATCTCATTTCTCTGCACCCTATAGATCTCTTCAAAGAGAGTTCTGGGCACAAAGGAGATATACAGGATGTGAAGAATAATCTGAATATGGTCACCAGCTCAACATTGTTATGTGGGAAATGTTTAGTTTATAAGAGATTATGCCCAAGGGTGAGAATTCTTATTTAAGTACTGTCACAAAAATAATGTTGGCACTTCCTAATCTGATGTTTTTGCATTTTTATTCCAGTACTTAAAAAGAAAAAACACAGCATGGAAAACATCCTCCGAAAATCAGATTTAACAGTAGGAAAGCTTCAAATGCAGGGAGTGGACAAAGGCTTTCACTTTTGTATTTCAGAAGCATCAGAAGGTCAGGTTTAAGTGAATGCACAGCCCTGCGGGACAGCAGGAATGGGAGATGAAATTAATGATTACCATTAAGAAATAATGTTAGTAGGGGGCATTTTGAAAGTGGCTGAAAGACGGCTAAGGGCACCTAGAATGATGTTATGTGCCTGATAAATACCAAGTGAATTCAATTAAAATAAAGGCATGCACATAGGATGCTTTAGAGAAGGAATGAGACATCTTTACGACTAGGTGGTATATGTAAGTTTTTAAGATATTTTCTATGACTTGAATTAGAATAATGCTTTGATATTTGCAAAATATCCACTAATTCCTGAACTCTTCTCTCAGGAAAAACAACCAGTCCTTAGGTTTTTGACAAGCTTTTCCAACACATGGCTTCATTTCATCGTATCTCCATGTCATAGGTGGATGACCTCATAGAAACAGTAACTGGTAAGTCCATGAAGTTACTTGCCCAGAGACACGCTGAGCTTCAACAGTGTGTTTCTAGGGGATGGAATTCTTCAGTCTTCTAAACAGTTCCAGAGGATTTCCAAGAGACCATGAGGAAGCATAAATTGAAAAATGTATGTTTCTCATGTACCTGCTGCTGCTTCTGATTTTGTTCCTGATTGCATAAAAGTTATCTTCATAGAGATTCTTAATTTTTTGATACATAATCCTGAATAAATTTCTCTAGTAAATTAATCAATGTGGGAAGGCAAATTTTTAAAAGTATTCTGCCCAACAGTCCTTAAAAAATGCTTTTACAAAAATTGGTTTTTAATTCTGAGCCAATATAAGCCATTTTTGCTTCATAATTCTTACTAATAATGGAAAATAGAAACATTTATTAAGGCGTAACAATTCTGCAAAAAATTTTTCCTACAATTTGCCAGATGAAATTAGAGGAAGGATTTAAAGGTATTACAACGCTTTTTAAAAAAATAGATTTCTTTTTTAAAAAAGATTTTATTTATGTATTGTTAGAGAGAGAAAGGGAGGGAGACAGAAGGGGAATGAAACATCAATGTATGGTTGCCTCTAGTGCACCCCCTACTAGGGACATGGTCTGCAACCCAGGCACGTGCCCTGACTGGGAATTGAACCAGTGACACTTTGGTTTGCAGGCCCATGCTCAATCCACTAAGCTATACCAGCCAGGGCCATTATAACACTTTTAATATACGCCACATACACCAATGACCATACGCCACAAACAACTGGGCTAATTTTAAATTATAATTAAAAAAAGAATTCTTATTAAAATTATAAAAATGTAACATTATTAAGGTATGATCCATGTAAAGTGTTGTGTAAAAGAAATGAATAAGAATGAAATCTAACAAGTATTAAAAATATAATTCAATACTTAAAAAAATTACAGGTGATTCAGCCTTAGCTTAATTTTTAAAAAGGTCATAAAATCCTTTAGGTAAGACCATCTTCATAGGGTAATTACCTCAAACTACTCTTCACTTTATCAACTTCTTTTCCATTGAAAATAACTCCTTAAGAACAAAAAAGTAGAGAGAAAACATGAACAAAACATTTAACAACCATGTTGCTTAAGTGTTAAGGAGAGAGATCTAAGAGAGTAATGCATATGGATTAACTTTGTATTTTATTTCCTCTTATACCAATGATTCTGATATCATGGAACCTGGCCCACAATGACCATATGCCACAAACATTTTGCACACAATTTCACAAGTTCACAGCCCTCCTGAAGCTTAGTCAAGTACTCCATTTTCAAAAGTGTTAACAATTTACAGAAGCTGGCTCATTTTTATCATGCACATCTTAGAAACACCACCTTCTCACAATCTTCAACTTATTTTATCAACAAATCAATGTTAACATTTAAGAACTATGGGCACAGACATCTGACTTGAAAAAGTATTAAACATTTATGGATGTTGTTTTCTACCTTTTAAGTTTAAGAATAAATAAGGCATTTCAATAAAACAAATCTATACTGAAGTCACTTGCCTTTGTGTAAAGAAATATAAACTGTACATTAACATTTAAAAGCAGAGTAGTTCACTGTCAAAACTTTAAATATCTCAAGAGAACAGCAAATTCTAAACACACTAAGATCACGTTGCTGATTTAATAGTCTTGGGAATGGTGGCCTGCCTATCTATGGCTTCGGATCTGCTTCCAGGCTCGTTTCCTGAGCTTCGTCCACCTCTGAGAGCTTTTCATCATCTGCAGTTGAGAAAGAAACATAAATGCTTAGTCAAATATGATTAAATTATATGATAAATCATGTATCATGTATGATAAATACATGAAAACATGTTTATCCTTTATTAGCCAATATATTTAAAACAAAGATGGCAAAATGACAGCCTAGGACTATAATTGGCACACAAAAGCATTTAGTTTTAAAAGTTCTGTTTTGACTGTCCTTGTGTATTAGGTGAATCAAAATGTAAAATTTATATAATAGATTTCACTAAAAAAAACAAAACTCTAGGTCTTAGGCTTTTCTTGAAAACAATCAGATCAGATAACACAAAAATTTCCAATTGGCTATAGTCAATACAATGAGCAAGTCCCAGTTGCCTCAAAGTATCCACTGTTCACTAAGTGTGCAAATATGCTTATCACTAATTATTTCACTCCCTTACCATGGTCTGCTGGGTCTGAAATTGTTACTTTATACTATAGCAATAAACTATAATAAACAAAGAAACTTCCAAATATATCATCCTTGAATTTCTCTTAATATAAACTACTGAATGTGTTTAAATTATTAATTGTCACAAATTCATACTTTCCTGCATACATCAGAAAGTTGAACAACATGAATATCTTATAACACTATCCAGCTATATACTACTGTTCTAAAATTGAAGGTGTATATTCTCTTTTAAAGATGAGTACTTTATTTTATTTTTATTTTTTTAAAGATTTTATTTATTTATTTTTAGGGAGGGAAGGGAGGGAGGGAGGGAGGGAAGGGAGGGAGGGAGGGAGGGAGGGAGAAGGAGGGAGAGAGGGAGGGAGAGAGAGAGAGCGAGAGAGAGAGAGCGAGAGAGCGAGAGAGAGAGAGAGCGAGAGAGCGAGAGCGCGCGCGAGAGAGAGAGAGAGAGAGAGGGAGGGAGAGAGAGAGAGAAACATCAATGTGCGGTTGCTGGGGGTTATGGCCTGCAACCCAGGAATGTACCCTGGCTGGGAATTGAACCTGGGACACTTTGGTTCCCAGCCCGCGCTCAATCCACTGAGCTACGCCAGCCAGGGCAAGATGAGTACTTTAGAAGGCATGCTCCTAAGATCATTTAAAAATCTTCATAAACATTTGTTATGAAACTATTTCTACTTACTTTCCAGTGTTTGCTGAAGTTCGTGGATGGTACTAAGAAGAACATGAAATTGTTTCCGTCTCAATTCCAGCTGTATTAACAAGAAAAAAATTAATTCACATTGATCTATAAACACACATATCATGAAATCTATAAAATATGTATGCAAATACCTTGTCTTCGACACTTTCTTTAATATGTGAAAGATGCTCTAATTCTTTGCCCAGAGCCTCTAGTGCCCTGAAAAATAGTAAAACTGTTATATTTTGCTAATCGGGGAAACAGAATTCACAATACCTACCTTTTTAGTTACTAAGTAGTATTTTAAAAATAAAAAAGGATGAGTTAACACTTATGAGACTTTTATTTTTTTAACATATTTTCTTGATTATACTATTATAGTTGTCCCATCCTTTCCCCCTTTACCCCACTCTACCTGGTCCCCCCCATTTCCTCTGGCAATTCCCCCCCTTAGTTCATGTCCGTGGGTCATGCATATAAGTTCTTTGGCTTCTCCATTTCCTGGACTATTCTTAACATCCTCCCACCTATTCTGTACCTATCCATTTATACTTCTTAATCCCTGCACCTTTTCCCCTATTCTCCTCCTTCCCCCTCCCAACTGATAATCCTCCAAATGATCTCCATATCTATGATTCTGCTTCTGTTCTGCTTGTTTGCTTATTTTTTAGATTCAATTGATGATAGTTGTGAATTTATTGCCACTTTAATGTTCATAGTTTTGATTTTCTTTTTCTTAAATAAATCCCTTTGATATTTCATATAATGGCTGGGTGATGATGAACTACCTTGTCTGGGAAACACTTTATCTTCCCTTCCATTCTAAATAATAGCTATGCTGGATATAGTAATTGAGGTTGTAGGTCCTTGCTTTTCATGATTTTGAATATTTCTTGCCAGTCTCTTCTAGCCTGCAAAGTTTCTTTTGAGAAATCAGCTGACAGTCTTATGAGAACTCCCCTGTAGGTAATTAACTTCTTTTCTCTTGCTGCTTTTAAGAGTTTCTCTTTAATCTTTGGCATTTTAATTATGATGTGTCTTAGTGTGGGCCTCTGTGCTTCTTGGACTTGTATGTCTATTTCTTTCATCAAATTGGGTAAGTTTTCTTTCATTATTTTTCCAAATAGATTTCCAATTTCTTGCTCTTTCTCTTCTCCTTCCAACACCCCTATGATTTGATTATTGACACATTTGAAGTTGTCCCCAAGGCTCCTTACCCTATCCTTCATTTTTTTGGATTCATTTTTCTTCTTGCTGTTCTGATTGAGTGTTTTATTCTTCCCTATGTTCCAAATCATTGGTGTGATTCTTGGCTTCATCCCCTCCACTGTTGGTTCCCTATACATTTTTCTTTATATCACTTAGTGTAACCTTCATTTCTGCCTGGGTCTTTTTATGATATTGAAGTACCCAATGAGTTCCTCGAGCATCCTAATAACCAGTGTTTTGAACTCTGCATCTAATAGATTGCTTATCTCCATCTTGTTTAGTTCTTTTTCCAGGGTTTTGTTCTGGAATTTTGGCAGCCTTCCTGTGTTTGTTTCTATGTATTAGGTAGAGCTGCTTTGATTCCCTGTCCTAGTAGTGTGGCCTACTGTAGAAAAGAGCACCCATAAACTGGATGGGGTGGAGCCTTAGGTAATCATGAAGGCAGAGCAACCTCAGTGAACCAGGTTGATGGAGTCTGCAACAAGGTGTCCCCACTCTGTGGCTCTGTGTGGGGGAGGGCTCAGAAAGGGGACAATGCCACTGCCTGGCTTTTGGAGTTCTGTCTGGGAGGAATCTGTCCCCTGGAACTCACCTTGATTCCAGTCACTTCAGTTTTTCTCTGTATGCCACTGGTGCCCTTCCAGCTAGTGCCCCAGTGCCAGAGCTCAGAGGGAGTGAGTATGTAAGTCCTAAGTCTTTTGTGGGCCCTTTAAGAGGAGACTCCTAAGAATCCTGCCATTTCTTCCACTGCCCCAAACCCTACTTGGTTTTTCAGCCAGAAGTTATGGGGACTTGTCTTCCTGGCACCGGAACCCTGGGGTGGGTGTTCTGATGTGGGGCTGGGTGTTCTGATGTGGGGCTGGGATTCCTCACTCTAGAATCCTCAATTTTCCCTCTCAATTTTTATCTACCATACATGCATGGGGGACCGCCTATTCCACATCTTTGCAACTCTGTGTGTCTCTACCCCTCCTACCTGCCTGGATGAATTGACTTCTTTAATTCTTTGCTTGTTGGACTTCCATACAGCTTGATTTTCTGATGATTCTGGGTGATAGTTATTTTGTATTTTAGTTGTAACTTTTGCTGTGGTTGTGCAAGGGGGAGAGCTATGTTTACCTACACCTCCATTTTGCTATGATAAGCCTTTTAAAGCTAACATGTTTTCTTCTCAACTTCTAAATATGTACTTATTTTCATTAAAATTAAATTTCTAGATAATCTTTACAGAATAGGAAAACTACAGATAATAGAATATCAAATCCCAAGAATTGATAAGTTTAACAACATTTTACCATACTTACTTCAAGTCTTTTTTTGGGGGGGGGGAAAGAAATAAAACATTGCAGGTTAATTGCCGACTAATTTGAAATACACTTTTAACCTTACCTCAAATCCCCTATCTCAAGCTATTTTTCTTCCTTTACCTCCCACTCAGGTAATCACTATAACATTCCAATCCTTTTTTAATGTATATATTTGCATCTCTAAATAATATATACAGTGTTACTATATAATATTTCGGGATCCTATAACTTTTATGCATGATTATAATTCTATATACACTTTAGAAGCTTAGGAATAATTTAAAATTTATTATATATATGTCTTCTTGTTTTTTTACTCTGATTATGTTTTTGAGATCTGCATTTAAAATGTGTATATTTACTATATTCTTTTTAACTGATATTTAGTGTTATACTATATGAGGAGACCATATTCTATTTTGTCATTTTCACATTGATGCATATTATATGCATTTATTTTAGAACTATAGCAGTAAGGCTGGAAGAATAAAATCTAATCAACAGTATTAGAATATATCATATTGACTATCTGATCCCTCCTTTTGGAGCATATTATGTATTCCTGTTAAATTGGATTAGCTAGTATATAAGCATTTATATATAAAGATTAGTTACTTTC